CGTGATATGAGTTAGCTCCAGTAACGTCGATTATCATATTTAGCCTTGAACTAGGTTTTCTGAAAAATCATTGAAATTATATGAATATACTAAAAAATTATATTTGCATCAACATACATTAAACTTTCACTTACTTTGGAAAATGTGGATTACGGTCTAAGTGAATAATACTAGTAAGAGTTCGTAGTGCGGCTGCCCGTAATTCAACAAGATGTGCGTATGGAAGTTCCAGTAATTCAACTAATTCTTCTAAAAGCCCAGGATGCAGCAAACTATGTGCATTTTCTTCAAGTTCACTATTATATACAAGTATGGATAATGCTTGCAGCCGAGCGTGTACACATTGCAATCGTCTTCGATAGTCAGAGAAACTGTGTGCCAGTCTTATATGTGTGAATAACGCAATCTAAAAGAAAAAAAGAAAACAATAAACTTAAATATTTATTCATTCATTAAATAATTATATACATTAAATATTAAATACCGAATTAAATATTGAAAGAAATAATATTTACCTGTCGATCTTGAGGTACGTTATTAACTTTTAATAAATCATTCATAATTTGTGCTGGTGTTTTACCCAGTTTATCCAGATTTTCTATATGTATACACGTTACAAAATTCGTCTGTCCAGATTTTTTTGTACCAGTGGTTGATGTGGCATTGGCGTCTGTTGAAGGATTTTCTGCATAAAATTCAAAATGCAATGTTGTGGCACTTGTTGGAAGTGGCTGAAAAAAATATATGAAAAAATTATAGTTCATTGGAGCATATCTTAAAGGCAGCTGTTGGTTATGGAATTTTGGTTACCTTGTCTGGATACTCTTTACAACAGTCTGCTAAACCAAATCCATTTTCTTTACCACCCCAACTCTAGAATGTAAAGATTACATTTAGTATTCTTGTGAACTTGCAGTATTCTAATAAAGTACTAATCAATCAATGTATATGTCTCACCTCTGCTAAAAGAGTAAGTCTACTTAATAAAGCTTGCCTCTTGTCACTGTTTAAACGTGCAATGAAATTGCTACGTTTACTGAACATGTAAAGAATATTTAATACACCAAGGACAACATGCATGTCACAGCTTGATAACAAAGTTACAAGATGTTCCATGCTACTGTATAAATGTCGCGAGTATGAGTGTTCGATTAACAATGTTGTAAGATGGAGAACCCAGAGGAGAAGTTCTTTTGCCTATAAAAAGTGAAATAAATATGCAATAAAAACATTGATCATTCTAATCACTTTCCTAAATATTTATACACATAATAGTAAATGTTACTATGAATAATGGTTTGTAAGAAGCTTGGCAATTACTTCTCTATTCTGAGGGAGATCACAGGCTAATTCCCATGGATTATCTGGACTTTTAGCTGCAGCTTCTTCCAAAATACTATCACTAAGATCCAATACATCGACCCAATGAAAGAGTTCACATTTACCGAAAGTCCATGCATCTATTTGCTTCAACTCCTCTAGCAATTCTGCATGGGAGCATGAGCGCAGCTTGTTTATAAGCGCCTGACATTTTGCCGGCTAAAAATTTATTCATGTGTGCAACCGTTATTCAACATATTCTTCAACATTTCTTATTAGAAATATTCATTTCCAAATATATGTCATTAAAATATTACTTACCGCTTCTGATGTGTACTTTCTCAACCTATTGCGATCAATTTTCATTTTGGCGGATAAAAGGTTCCTTTAACAATTTAAATTCTGAAACAATGATTTTATAATACATTTATAAAAGATTGGTACAATTTCCATTTAATGCAAATATAATATAAAACAATGTATTAATGTATAATGTATAATATTTTTAAGCATAATTACTAAATTTTAACAATCAAAATCAATGTCAATTGTTACACAATAAATTTTTCATCTCATCTTTTTATTGTCAATAATTTTCATTACGTCATTAATAAAAAGATCTAACTTATATAATATTTATCTCATCATATTAAATAAGGACCACAAATTTACTAATCAATAAATACAATCATATTAATAGAGTACACTAAAACAAATTCATATTTCCAAAATTAAATTCATGCTCTGCAACAAATTAAATAATATCTCTTAGAATGTTGAAGTATTTCACAAATTTTTCTTGTATTGCATAAATATGATCTTTATTACGAAATTCTTATTCCGTATGAATCATAAACATTCGTTAATTCATTAAACAAACAAAATTTTATTAAAACGATAAAATAATACGAAATAAAAAAGATCATTATAATTTCTGTGTCGATTAAAAGAATTGTCCATATGGTTTTTTAAAGATAATATAGTCACCAAAAATAGAATCATTGTCATTAATACGCGAACACCTTGGAATCAATAATTTCGTTCGCCTATTATCTAACAAAAAATTTGCTACGAAAACGACATAACGGCACGAAAATTTGTATCGATTAAAAAATCTCGAAATAGGGAGCACAGTTTGGTTATACTGCGATATTCGATATTCGAAGCGACAATGACGTTGTAAACCTCATGATAAGTCTTGAAAACATGACAAATCGTGACAATACGTACCATCCATGTAAATAGTTATTTGTTAGAATCTATATAAGGAAATCATATAATCGTCGATTATAAAAAAAATGAGAAAAAAAGGATCTAAGTAAACAAAGGAACCCTCCAGAAAAAAAAGTAGAAACCGTTGTGAAAATTTAAATATTTTAAAGGTTTGGACCGTTAGAAAGACGATAGGAGCGAAAATAGGCTATATTCTCGTTAAGATGCAGAGTCATCGGTTTCTAGGGCCTAACCTAACAAGATTCGTTCGACTAGTGCAAAATAATAACAAAGGGATAATACCTGCAAAAACATCTTAAAACAATTAGGTATAGTCTAAAATTGACAAATCGTACTGACAAATGATTTAAAAGCAATAAAATAAAAAAAAACCAGAGGCATAGTAATACGCAAAAGTGGTGAAAGCAGAGATGCACTCGTGGCACGAAACTTACCTATAGATAAGCCGACAAGGATTTGATAGAGTCGTCCTTGTCGTATGGCCTTTCAATAAATTCGAGGTCGGAACGATGCGGCATCACGGCCGTGGAAAACCGTTCCGTCGGTGGTTTTTCTTAACCACCTTGATCGTCTTCGACTCCAATTATATTATTTCAGCGATGGTCAATAAGAGACGCCGTTATTAAATTTCGTAATAAATTGGTAAGAGAAAAAATTGAATTCGCAAGAGCGAAAAAATGTAAACCGAATGATTTGAAATGAACGAGAATCGACCAGTTTCCGTGAAGATAGGTATCGAACTAGAGAATCAAAACAAAACTTAAACGTGAATAGGAGCCGCGATCCTCTTCTATCGCTTAGCGCCAATCGGAGTACCGATCACCGCCATTTTACCGAGGCTTTTCGCAGAGGATCGTCCACCTTTCTCCTTTTTTTAACCTTCTCCTTTTTCGTGTTCCGCTTTCACGTATACGCAAGCTTCTCGAATAATCTTGACCAGAAAAGTTCACGACCTTCACGGGACACTGCACACAACACCTTGCGTAAACCACGGGTTAGAAGATTCAACCAGCAACGATTTTTATTATACACCGAATATGAACCGCACACTGGCTGCTTGTGTACGCACACTCTCGTATATATATCGCTATAGACAAGATTCGCGGAACAAGGCAACACTGCTTAACCACTGCTAGCTGGCTCGCATCTTTCTTCCAGATATTCCTCAAAATCGTACGTTTGCATTCTCGAGCTGCGCAGTAGAAAGACCCAGTATTTGTTATATGACGAACGAACTGTGTGTCCTACTATTTCCACTGAATTTCTCTGATTCGTTGACTGTCGATGATACTCTACGTGGTGATAGGACGCTTCGTAACTATTCGTTACTGTTCTTTATAATGTGTCGACGACGACGACACATGCGTCTAGAAACGAAATTCACCGATGCGTCACAAAATTGCACAATGTGAATGGGTCTTAAGGTCATTATTAACACACCGACTCGTGGCTTCTCACTTTTAGCCAATCCCCGACAAACTTTCCATTGTACGTACATCTGATTGAACGAACGTACAAAGGATTCTCTACCTTTTGTACGCAAGCTGGACCCGTTTAATTATTCCTTTGAAACTGCGCAGTATGAAGAGCAAAAATATATGTAACAATGAACGCTTCCTTTCTTTTATAAAAGAGTCACTATGATTTTGCCCACGAATATTGGCAACGTTTTGCCAAATGTTACTACGTTTTAGTTATAAGAAAAAGTTTTATTCGGTCGTTTTAATTTGTTGAAAATGTGATTTGGGAGAATTTAAGTAAATTGAAAATCTATATATTATAAAATTTGCTATTTTCATATTTGGCATTTTTATGCAAATCAAATGTTTAAAAGATATCTTTATTTTTTTACGAAAACAACAAAATTATGATAATGACATTTTCTTTCTTTTATAGAAAAGAACAACACTAATTAAAGTTGTAAATGTTAGTTACCGTTGTACTAAAAGTTACTACATTTTAAGAAAAATTTTTATTCGAACATTTAAGTATACCTTAATTTGTTAAAGTCATGCATGGAGAATTAAATATTTTTTCCTTTAAAAATCTTAAATTTATACACGATTCACATATTTTAAAATATTGTATCGTGTAATTATAAATGTAATTAATAAATGTAATTTTCATATACATCAAATGTTCACTCGATACTAAAATATTTGTAGCCTACGTCTGAAATTTTTTTTAAAAGCTTCAAGATTTAGTAACTTAGCAGTGATATATTCTAGTACTTTATTGATAAGTTGGTATCAGTTGGATATACTATCTAATGTAGATAGATTTGATTTGAATCATTCGAAAATCGATGTTTTATGTAACATTGCGACATTAAATCGCATAAAATTATTTATGGACATGAAAAGCACGTGGGAAAAATATGACAAGAACATTTTTTTCATTTTTTCACTCGAATATTTATATCTATGAAATTTTATAACGAAATGTTCAATATAATGCAAAAATACATATTTAATCCAGAACCAAATGAAAGGACAGTTTTAATAACATGAAATAATTGATTATTGAAGTTTAAAACTGTTTTTCATGTTCTTTCTCTGTTTTTTTTTACACGAGAAAGCTATTTCTATAAAAATTCTATCTAACAATATCTAAACAGAAACAATACGGGGACAATTTATGTGCGGTACTGCTTTCTATGGAAAGCGGTTTTCTCAAATGATTACTAAATTTTTATTCTTTTCACTGAATTCATAATGATGTCGCTTCAACGTTTCGTCGAATGAGATTTCTAATGAGGCTTTTGACGGTTTTCACGCTGTACACTGATAATTTACAAGTGTTCCGTGACGGAACTTTAAGTAAGAGAAGATCTTCTGACACTTATAAGGATGTACACTGCGGCATCCCTTTTAGACAGAAGTCAGAATTCAAGTGAGTACCAAAGTATCGATTTAGATATTCTGTTCTTCTAAAAACATATATATAATTTTTCTGAAGAGAAATAATAATTTTCAAAATAATAATTACGTATTTGTAATTCACCGTAGAAGTACTAACATTAACTCGTATCTTATACATACACGCATACATAACACACACCCTAATTCATTATTGTACTATATGTCTTTTCTATATATACATTTATATTCAATTATTAATTAACAATACATATTTAACCATTTAAGAGCTCACTAAAACAATCAAATATGGTAAAAAGCTCCATATTTTTTTATGAGAAAATTACTTTATTAAATTGCTTGTAATTATTATAAATAAAGAAAAATACTCTTTACCTATAATATAATTTTTTCTTATCTCTTTTCATAGTTACTTCTTGCATAATAAACTTTAAAACAAAGAATGTACAAACCAATATCACAATCTAGATTACACGATGTTTGTTTCTTTTCAAAATTTCTTTTCATTTATACATTTTATTGCAGTAAATAAGACATTTGCATAAATATCCATAGCCTATTGCTGAACATGCAATAACGTTTCAGGATGTTTAGATTGATCGTGATATTTTGTCTCATCGTTCACGTTTGCGCAACGGAAGCTCACTGGAAAGGCTACAGACCACTTTGCAGATACTGGTGTAGGACGATCGATCATCAATATTATTGCTGTCCAAGCGGAAAAGCTGAGAGTTGGGCGGAATATATTTGGTATTCTTTCCTACACCCATGGCTGCTAATGATCACCGTTGAATCTGCACCGATCGACACGTTTTGGCCAGAAAATGTCCATGAGGAAGAAACAGGGAAACATTGCCCGCCGTTGAGAACCCATTGTCCACGAACTTATGATTGGTACTCACTGCCACCAACTTCTTGCCACGGCGACGAGGATTGCGACAAATGGGAAAAATGCTGCTACGATGTTTGTCTTGAACACAAAACCTGCAAACATGCAGAATAATAAATGAATCGTTCTTTTAATTGGTAGTATTCCAATTATTTGTTAAATATGATTGTTATAAATTGTATATCCCTTATAATTAGCCCAATTACTTATCATATGATACTTATAGAAAACATCTTTCTTTATGATATTAAAATAACTACCTACCATTGCAGTATAAACTATTCAGTATTGCCTTCCTTTCCAAATGAAATTGATTGACAAAAAAGTATGTAATTGATTTCCGCGTATCATAAAAGTAAAAATCACGTGCGTTAATATGCTGTAGCATGCAATGTTCCCAAACATTTTTCATTTAATTATCGTGAGAGCAGGTCTAATTAAAATGCTTCGGCTGCGATTAAGGTTACTTTACGTCGGAGCTATCAATTCGACAGTAACTTCTCAATTAACGTGGGCGACGAGATACTTAATAAACAGTTATGTTGCGGTGCGCTCTTCACCGTGACCTGGTCCCATTAAATTGTAATTGTTGCATATCACGTTTCGTATTAGCTTAATTAACGCCGCCGTTTATCCAAATTTTTTGGGAAAATTTCGCGACTTTAGTCATGTCTAAATTGGTCTTATTGCCTGTAAAATTCAAAATACAAGTTGAATAGTTACAAGTATGTTAAAAAATGTTATGTATATATGAATTTTATTGTTTTATGTCTAAAAGTTTACACATAAATCTGACAAAGATCTCCTTAGGAAGATCCGTGAATATATATTTAGTCGAAGACTCAGGTAGACCCAAGCATCGATTTTCCCTAAAGCTCCTACTACGACTACTTTCTATTTTTTCCACGTACTTTGGAACAACCTGTATTCAGATTAAATCGCTTAGTTGTTGGAATATCGAGGAGTTACGATCGAAAGTTGCAAAGGCAGAAGAAAATTGCATGTTTTTCACCGTGAACGTTGTACGAGAGAAAATCATCTCCATAAATATATCAGATCATAAATCGTTGTGTTAGTAAACTACGTTGAACAATCCTTCACGAAGTTTTTGTTCGTTCAATATTCAGTAGCTTTGTCACCTTTTGACTATCAGCTGCGAATTTTAAATGGGAGGCCTTCGTTCACGGCTTGTACAGACAAGTTGTAACCTGTTATTATGACTGTCATATGCATCACAAATGCTCTTTCTTCGAGGTATCGATGCTCATTACCTATGGAAATCAATGATTGTTAATTCACGTTACTCTTACTTTCAATATAGAAAGTTTAGTACATAAAAATTGTTATATCTATGATCATAATACAGAAAAATATTTTTATACTGATAAAAGAATACTTTATGGGATGTAGTTTGATTTTGTAAATTCGAAAATTCCAAATCTAGATCTTCAGATGTCGATTTAATCGTGATGGAAAATTAGTTGAAGTTGTTCCTTCCAGGAAAATGAGTACAGTTGTTTGATTTAAGGTAATACGTCGTTGAATACTAAATTGTGCTCAATGGTGTGGTCGTTTCTAGAGGATTGTATAGTGACCGTGTTCAAAAGATAGTGATCTTCTGAAAGTGAAATCTTGAAAAGCGATCGTATCTAAACAATCTATATAAAGATGCAGTTCTTCTTTTTTCCAACTAGAAATACTTCAATAATTTTATAAAGCGAATTTAAAAAAAAGATAGAAAAGTACCTGTCCTTTTTGTTATTAAATAAAGATTCATTATTCTTTGTTTTATTTTTCTGGTCTTTCTTGTACAATTATGTTAATATTAATATTTTACAAGTCATAAATAATAAGTTCTTTGTATAACAATAAATTTTGAAAATTATTGTGCAAGAGAGCCCTACTATTTATTGCCAAAAGAATGAAAAAATGAGGCCTCTGTTAATTCAACAGTATCTATGTCTATAGATTTAACGAAAAAAAGTTGATTATTTAGGACAGTCAGGTAAAAGCTATGTGGGAAAAGTAACAGTATCACGGCATTATCAGTGCCAAGGAAAATCTCACTTGTCGGTTGGTGAAATGACAAAGCCGACAGCAGTCTAATTTATCCTGGCGTAAGTTGGTTTGCACATGGTTGTGTAAATATTTCCGTAACGGTGAAAGAAACACGCGTTCTTCCTTCCTTCCACTAACACCTCTATAATGGTGGAAAGACCTTGATAAGGGCTTCATCGGTCGGTCGAGCAGACCTTTTTATAAATTCTACAGCTGTTGTGCGTTCACGGTACCTACGCAGAGCGCGGCAAAAGGATAAAGCAGAGAATAGAGGCGAGATCGGAATGGGAATGGAATCTGGCCGATGGTGCGCATGCGTCGACCCCGTTCATTCACTCCTCCGAATCATTCATAAATCGCGGAGTCCTACGCTTCTGTTCCCAACGGCTAATGATAAAACGGTGTATTGTGAACGACTTATGCGGAATGCCGCGAAATTACATCACTACTTTGTTGCTTTCTGATTACATGAATAAGTCAGCTCGATGCTTGTCACTGGCTGCAGATAATGCTCAATTCCTTTAGAACTGAAATAAAAAAGATAAAAGTTTATTTCTATGGTTTAGTTGAATTACTTATAGGCAGTATATAGGTCAATGTACATCTAACAAATTCTTAAACGATAATAGATTGTTCAATTCAATAAGTACATGGTGTTTAACTTAGGACAAAGTTAAATTAAACAATCGAAGTGCAGCAATTTTCTATGGGAAGGAGTTCATTATCTGCTATTAAGGTTTCAAATTTACCTAACGATCACTGTACGATTATGATAGCGAAAAATGATGCAAACAACTACGAACCCCCGAACCCATTAAAGAAAAGTCAGGTTGCCTTTATTTTGCGGCGTAATCACGATGAGACGTCGCCTTCGATTCAGATATAATTGACGTGTCGACCGCACACGCGCTTAGCTAGATACAGTGGGGATAAAGGAAGTGAGGATATACCAGATTCGAGGCCGGTGGAAAGTAGGAACGGAATCAAGCTGGTCGCGCATGTGCAAATGTCTTGCACAAAACAGTTATCCAGGCGAGATCACGCTTTCGAAATCTATAGAAGAAAAAATTAAAAATTAGTGTTTAACGGAAAGTTCAACGGTGTTCATTGAGATTTATCTCAAAATGATGTTTAAAATATGACTCAAAATAATTATTAAAATTATCTGCACACAATATAAATAAATTGCACAAAAAAATAGTTCAAAATATCAAATGAGAATTAAAAAGAAGCAATATGAAATTTAAAATAATGACCATTAGGATGTATTTGCACGTAGGTAAAGATGTAAGAATATGTAGAATGCATATACATATATGTAAAGATATATATATGTAAAATACTTGAAGTAAAGTTGTGTACATAAAAGTAAGAAATCTCGTAAGCTAATGATCGAAATCTTACTTCAATACACAGAAATTAGTGCTCCCAATAGAACTTAAAAATGTTTAAAATGATGCTGGAAATAATTAAAGAACTATCTTTGAATCAAAATACTTATTTATTGTAATTAAAAAAACATATAATTACTTCCATCCCAGTAAATTTTTTCACTACAATTAAATATGAAATACCTTTACAAAAGAATCTTCTAGTTGCGAAGATCGATAACCTCAAAATAACATTCACGCATTTGTAGCATTCCTTAACTCTGGAATCCTTATTGTAGGTATGAGCTTAATATGATACAATATAATGAATTCCATTAATTTCTTTCTAAAAATTGAAAAGTAAATATTATAATTACTAGAATAGTCAAGATCACCAATTCAATAATTTTAGTAATTTTTTACAGAAATAATATAAAAATCCATTGAAAGGTTTCAGTAATATTGTGTAAAATATATGTATAAAATTACATTATATATTTCCTTATATACCTTTCATTTTCACTCCTTTTACATAAACTTTAAGTCCTAATCGTTGGTGCTTCCAATGTTAAACAATTTTAATTACCAATTCTTCAACTTTATAATAGGCAGCAATTGCTCATACGCTTCTTTCAAAAGCTTATTCTTACTTTAAGATATCTTTTAATCCCGAAAAAGTAACCTGCAAAAAAAGATCGAGTTTCATCTCGAACGCGAGATTATAAATTAAAGAAGCTTGAAATTAGATCGGAGCCATTCCTAATCGAATGCTGCACACCGGTACCGCAGTGGTGTATTTATAACAGGGGGAAGATGGTGCGCGTAGCCGAGAAGCGGCGGTGGTGGGGATAACTAAATTCACGCGGTGCGGGAAGAAAGGGGGGATACGGCGCACGCACACCTATGTAGCCACGGAATTCGGAAGAGCGGCAACTTCAGTGGCATTCGTTTGCGAAGCGCGGCACGGTGCGGGTCGCGGTTATTTCCTGGCTTGTTTTCTTCATCTTCGATTTCAACCCTTCGATTCGACTCACTGTCTTAGTCTTTGACACAGCTCAAAATTAAGTGACTTTTAACGTACAATCATTCACTATTATCTAACAAAATAGAGACCAAATATTCAACAAATAAAATCGTGAACAGAGGAAGGAAAAAGTAAACTGACAAAATTTCCCAAAATTTTCACTCCTCGTGCCTACATTGCCAATTGTGAGCGAGGATTACTATCCATTGAATAGTATCGTAAAAGTAAACACAAGCTTGTAAGAAGGAACAAAGTATCAAACGGTATTTCATCGCGTTCCTCCTGAGCAAAACTCGTGGAAAGTGCTGTACGCTCCGGTTCACGGTGCACTATTCAGAGGGACGGAACAAGAGAGAGGGAATAAGGGAGGAAGAAAGAGAGGAGTCACGTTTGCTGAAGAAAGGCGTGCTCACGACCGAGCTTTTACGGTCTCGTCTCTTCATTGACGTATCCTGATTTTGACTTTCGACGAATATACATTGTATCTATATATTTTCTTTTTTCCCTCCTCTTTTATTTTATGAATGACATGTATTATTTTATAAATTAGTAATTGGAAATAAGGTTATTTGCACAACATTAGTTATACGATAGTTCAATGAATGTTGCGCGGATGATTTTGCTTGATCGTTAATCGATGAGTCGCGATTAATATTGGCGTATCTCAAGGATCGAAAGTGAGTGAGTTCAAGTGGTGTAGAAATAGACTGAAGTTTAAGGAAACAGATGAATATGAGGCTCATTGTCAGAGGAACGCTTGTGTTGTTGGTCATTGCCAATGCAGTCCACAGTCAAAGTGAGTACATATTTTCACGTTATTTCATTTTTGTATCTTTACATGTGTTTTATGCGTGTGTATGCAAATTTGCTTATATGTAAATACTTTGATTGATCTTTATTGACAATACATGAATGTTATAAAAAAAAACATAATTATAAGGCATCTAGTGAGGTATCTTTTAAAAAAATGTATTCCCTACAGCTAATTTTTAATTAGTATAACTGTAATTATAATGTGAAATATAACGAAAAATAATATTAAAAATTTAAAAAATGGTGACATTCGAAATATTTAGTTGGTAGCTCTTCCTTACCTAGGTTCCATTTGTTTAGCTATATAAATCCATTTTTTCAGCCATGAAAATGTGAATTTACATAAATACCCATAGTCTAATTATTATTCAAAGTGCAAGAAATAAATTTTTCAATCATATTATAAAAATAGGAATAGAAATAAAACTTTTCCTAATACAATTACACTTAAATTAAGGACTAAGCATTTCCCTGTTTACATTTCGTCATTGTATAACTCTGAATGGTTTCGATTAGCTTTTTATTCGATGTAAACACGCAAATGATCCGTCCACGATCCTATTCGTACCGGGCTACTCTTCTGTCTCAATTTCGTGGTACAATCGTCTTTCTGATCATTGATCAAACAGATTTTATTCATAGTTTAATGTCATTGTGGTCTGAAATAACTCAAGAGTGTTTTTCTAATGAGTCACGATTGTTCCCCGAGTAATATTCGAAATAGGTATTCAATGATTACGAAACAGGTATTGAATGAGTGTTCGATATGGAAATGACAGCGTTCAAAAAATGTATATTTGTATGGGCACGTTACAGGAACAGTATATTGGTTTCAAATCATAAGAATTATAACGAATACTCCATTTTGGATATTTTATCAACTTTCGTGTGTTATGCGCACTTTCGTATCTTCCAATTTGCCATAACTGCATAAATATCCGCGGTCTACTTATGAATTACGCGTTAAGTACACGGTAGTACATATTGCTCATCTCAATGGAATTCGAATTGCATGACTCAGGTGTACTGACCTGAACTATAGTCATTTTTAGCCTTAGTCATTCTCAAGGTCAGCCCACCTCCACGAATTTTTATTTCAAATTACAATCCGTTGACATTGTTACCATATTTTGCTGTTTCACAGTCTTTACTAGTTTATTCCTTCTACTTTAACTCTTGGGAATATTTCTTAATTTCCTTAAAGCATCAGACGTATAAAATACTGTATCAAAACGATTGATCAAGATTCAAACTGAGGAAACTATAAGGATGAATATGTGGGAAACTCATCAACGGGAAATCTTATCTTAAAAGCTTTTTATGTTTTCCTTGGAATTGCATATCCGATGTTCTCCTTTTCAAGCAATTATATATATTCTGCATTACATTCTCTACAATGTAGCGTTGCTTGATTCCTTCTTAGAAAACGTTTTCAAAGTTTATTATTTTTATACAAAATTTCTTTTCGCTTCAAACTATTACAATTTACCTTAAACAGCCATTAATTAAGATCCCTTTAGATATATTCCAGTGATATTAAAAACGTTTCTTTATGAGATATAACATTTCAAGTTTGTAAGTTGGAGGTTTTCTGGCGGATCATCCCCAAAGACGTAAGATTTATTTTTAAATACAGATTTATGCTTGTGATATTATCGACGTACATTTCTTAAGCAGGATAGTTTACTGTCGATTACTGCAAGAATAATTGAATATCGAATTTTCATTTTGAGGTGCTATAACGATTACTTTTCTTCGTTCATAGCATAATTTTGCTTGTACACCCGGTATTTGCAGAATATCATAAATATAAGAAATGCCCTTAATGCTCTAGTCTAAAAAATTCTCTTTTTACAAAAATATTTCCCAATATTTCGAAATTCCTTCTCTTTCATTTACAGCGCAACTTTATCTTGTAGTAATCAGCATTGCGCGCAGTTCGCAAGAAATTCAATTCACGTATAATTTTCACTCAAAATCTCCAAGGCAATACCATCGTCGATCAATTCATCGATCTTTCATCGAGCATAGAAACGTGTATTTCATGGGGTATGATGGAGACTATGATGGAGAGTTTCTGCCAGTAGTGTAATTACCACCTTGCTCAAGATCGCGTTTTCTTGTTGCTCATTTTGTTTTCCAGCGTGGTTCGCACAAGCCATCATCGACTTCCACCAAAAGAACAAATCGCTTGCTAGCCGACATGCTCCATCTTTCCGCGGTACGCTTGGAAATTAGAGGAGAGCGAAACGAGCCGCGTTGCGGTCGCTCTTCGAATAAGAAACATTTTTTCCTACCAGCCTAATGGTCCTCCGACGGTCCCCTTTTTTATCCTGTTTCACCAAGGTGTAAATGGACCGACGCAGAAAACTTCGAATCTCTACTTATTTCTCGGGCGAATCCAATTGGAAATGGATAAAGAGCAATCGATAATATATTGGCCAAATATAATAAAATTTCGGAGACCTTGGTATTGGAATTTGGAATTTGCACCTTGGAATTTCTTTTGACAGAGAGATTTTTGGAATTTTTTAATAGGCATAATTATTTGTTCTTGCAGGGATCGAAAATTAGATTGTAGTCGATAATATACAGAAATGTAAAGAAGAATGTAGAGAATAATACTATGTAGGAAACCACTTGGAAGGAAAATTTAACGCGATCGTTTATTTATTATTCTTTACTTTAGCGTGGTTAACTCTTTTCCGTTGTGTTTTCTAATGGATGTACGCCCGCGCACATGCGCTTTGTTCCGTACTGAAAGAGAAAATACATCAAGAGTTATATATCACAGTGATTTCGATAGCAGCGCTGTCGCCAAAGCGATGATTGATGATTTCTCCCTGGGACGCACAAGTAAATAGGATCGTTCGAAGACGATGGGAACTATGCTCTTTTTCGCTGGTGTTACGATGCATTCGTGATTAATGGCCGCGATATTTAATCTAATCCGGTGTAAACAGGTGCCACAAAAAAGTGTTTAATCCTTCGTTCAATGGTTCAAGTTGAAGAACTGTAATTAAGATTTTATACGTATTATTTTACTATGTTTGAACGATACATATTATACAGGCTATTTTGTTTATCTTACACGTTAATAGTTTGTACGATTACTTTTGTTGATAGACAAATTGTCATATTAAAATTTCTTTTAAAGAAGCAATCTAATAAATCTCATAAAAAAATAATCCTCTGAATCGTAAACGAATCATGGTCGTTTCCGGAAACCATTCGCCTCAATAACGTGCGTGATTATGCTCGGCTCTCTTCATTCATCTGAATTGTGGCGAAAGTGGCATCAACGATAACGATCGACCTGTTGTTTCAAGGGTAGCACGCCTCAAAGGGCAGATGCACCATGAACCTGTTTTTGAAACGATTACTCTACATACAGTGGTTACAGAAAGTATTTGAACATCATTGTATTTATTATAGACATTGTTCAAGTTTATGTATATTTAATTTCGTACCATTTAGTAGTATTCTCATATAGTTAGAAAAATTTAGCATTATGAAAGTGAAATGTAGAACTTGATATATTCTTGTACATTTATTCTCAAAATATACTCGGAACATCATCTATATTTTCCACCTATTTATTTGTATAAAGTTTTCTAAATATTTTCCGGAACAGCTTGCTCGTTCGTATTTTCAATTTGTTTCCACAAAATTCCATTAACACAATTTGTTTCTTCATATTTTTCAGCTTATTTGTTCGTACAAAATTACTAAGACTTTTTTCCAGATAATTTATTCTCCTAAAATAAAGAATTTTCTAAAATAATTAGTCGATTTAAATTTTCATTTCTTATTCATTTCAATAAAATTCAAGGCGATGATTTTGAGTAAATATTGATGTAAATTCTAAGAAGCAGACGACGAAAGGAACAATAGGGGTTGTAACTTTTGTAGCATACTGTACCAATCAATTCATCGCGTCGATTGCGCTCGTGCGCACGTGGGCCGACGTTTTATAAAACA